ACCTGGAGTCTCTACAGAGAGGGTAGTGGAAGGTCCAGTACCAGCACTATTGACTGCAGCTACTGACACAGTATACTGTGTGGATGGAGTCAGTCCAGAGATTGTGGCTTGTCTAGCATCTACATTAATACTAGCAGTTCCTTCCTCCATTCCACCTGAGTTGGTTGCAGTAACTGTGTAGTCTGTGATCTCTCCATTTCTCTGGGGACAAATCACCTCTCCCCACTGGACAATGGCACTGTTTGGTGTGACTGTAACTAGAGTGATTGGGCCAGGAGCACCACTGGGAGCTGTGGAGAGTAACACCAACCATATTGTAAGGAACTTGGGAATTATACAGCACTTTACCTGCCTCCTCAGTCATTGCAGTAACAGCATTACTGACAGGACCACTACCAGCTCCATTAGAGACTGTCACAGTGATGGTGTACCTATTGCCTGGCTCTAGTCCAGTTATTGTATGTCCAGTGAAACTACTGCTAGTCTCAGTGATACTACCATCATCCCTCAGATCAGGACAGACAAGTGAGGTGTCTCTCTGCCACTGGACCACATAGCCAGTCACCACTGAGCCACTGGGAACACTACCAGATATGGTGATGGTATCCGTAGTGACTGTTGGAGTTGAGTCAAGGACTGGAGCAGATGGAACTGTGGTGGGAACAAAGACAGCACACAATGAAGCCTAGGCAAAACTCTTCTTTTTTCCTTGGAAAAAAAGCTGTCCTGGGCATAGTTGACTTGTTTGCTCTGCCTTTGCCCTGCTTGCTACCTAGTTGTTGACACATACTTTAAGTTAATAGGTTGTTTGTGGTGCTCTCTCATTCTTGTGTAAACTGAAACACCTACATTTGTGTGGTATGACATACCTAAACCAACAGTGGCCTGCACTGGTGCACTAGACAGACCATTGGCATTGGTTGTGGCTACAATTGATATGGTGTAGGTCTGTCCATTGGTGAGACCAGTCAGAGTGTGACTCATAGTGTTTCCACCACTGACAGCCTCACTACCACTGCTGCCTCCTCCAGTGTAGGAGATGGTGTAGCCAGTGATACCATCCAGAGGATCAGGAGGAGTCCAGGTCACTCTGCTAGAGTCCTCAGTATAACTGCCATATATTCGTAACATTGGCAGCAGATTGAAGAGATATTCCTACATACACCACAAGTGGAACATACCTAAACAACAGTGGCCTGTACTGGTGCACTAGAAAGACCATTGGTTGTAGGTGCTACAATGGATATGGTGTAGGTCTGTCCATTGGTGAGACCAGTCAGATTGTGTCTTTTGTACATGCCACCATCAATATCCACATCAGCTGCCTCCAGTGAAGGAGATCCTGTAGCCGTGATACCATCCAGAGGATAAGGAGGAGTCCAGGTCACATGATACTATTGGGACCATCCTGGACTGCTGTCACATCAGTGGGAGGCGGGGTACACCTAAATTAAAATGCATGACGGACCACAAGGAAGCCATGACACAGACAAATGAAATCATCTCTTAAAAACATTGCTAGCGGCCATGTTCTTCACTCCAAACCTTTCTACTATCTAGTTTCCTTTGATTCGACCGACGCATAACATGTGCTCCATGCCCATTAAGTGGTGTTGTCATTCAAGAGTCATGTGACAATCAGTTGCAACCCAGCTACAGTTTTCCCTACGAGTGGAGATGAAAACAATTCTGAGGCATATAGACACAACGTAAAATGTCATTGGCCCTATGTACAATGACTAGGCACATCTCAACACTGCTTATGGGTACATACATAGTACTGACTGTATATACCTGCTACAGTGGTGCTAGCTGAAGCAGACGATGGCTTGTTATAGCCAAGTACAGTGTACTGTCCTGCAGTAGTCCACAGTCAGAGTGTGGGTGTACTGTGCATCACTGGTCATTCAAATCATTCAATAGTCTCATTTGGTTCTCCAGTGATATTGACATGGTCTCTGGTCCAAGTGACAGTGGTAGCAGGTCCACCAGTGAGATACAGGTGAGGGTCAGCTGGTCAGGGTCAATGCAATCAGATATGAAACATCTCCTGAACAAAGTGCAGCAGTACAAGTCGCACAGTCTACAAAATCTGCCTCAGCATACACACCTGCACAAATTTGCTCACAATCATTCCTGAACACATGGTTTATCATTGTTTCCATATAAATGCCTGTCCCTGCAATATCAGACATTCCTCCTCGAGAAAAAAGAGCAGCACAGTTTTAAATATTATTTCGTGTGCTTTTAAAGGGAATGTGGCAGTATATAGGGGCTAAATTTAGAAATGACTTAAGATAGAACAAAACAATAGGGGCACAGTGAAAGAATGCAATCAAGTTCCATTTTAGTTACATTTCTAACTATACTGCCACATCCCTTTAACATTTTGTGGCACTCTGTAGTATAACAATATCCCTCCATAAAAAATTTGTCGCTGTTAAATAAAAGCTCATTCTCATACCTCCACTGGCAGTATACAGTCCCCACATAGACTGGTGTCTCTCGGTGAGTTGTCAGTATCATCATGGACAGCACCAGTTGGAATATCACAGCGATAGATACAAGTTGGTGAGGTGGGATTGTCCTTGCGACGTAGGTCAACTCTCTGAGCTAGACGGACCTCATAGATATCACCACTTCCAGAGAATGGCAGTCTAGTTCCATCAGGGAAATACCAGTCTCCACGATGGATACCCTGGTCACTCAAACTACCACCCAATAACTCCCCAGGTCAGTATACATTGACAACATGTACTACCACTGAGAACATTCCCCACTTGACTGATGTCCACATAGGAATTGTTGTCCAGAGTCTGGGGCTATTGAGGGAGACGGGGAAAGGTCTAATGGACCTCCACCAGAAAAAGACCAGAGGAAGAAACCATCGTAAAAACACTCATAGTGACAACTCAGGGTAAGAAACCCTTTAACGTCGTACGTCACACTGAATCCTACGACTGTGACTGTATATCTCATCTCCATTCAAAGATATAAATGTTGGTAGAGGAGACACTTTGGTTTAGTGTGTGTGTGTGAATCAGAGCAAGGCGTGTAGTCACCTTTGACCCTCCTTCCTCTCACATCCAGTGTACATAATATAGCACACAATTGTACGTAGGCTATTACTATTACCACTGATCGTTAGGAGATGCATCTCCAGCAACTCCACCGCATATCATGCAGACCAACCAAACCAGCCCTTTCAGTCAGCAGCAAGCAAGCAACCACAAACCACACAACGCTGGCTTCCAACTCACCCACTAGACTAACACTGTTACTTCACACACTGTACACCATCACCCGCGGAAACTACACACTTACCCAGGTGGTGTGATTATGATACCTCTCTTTACCAACGCCAGTCCGAGGAGATGCATGACACACCTTATCTGTATCAACTTACGTTCAGCATCAGAGCTTTGGCACCGGAGAAAGCGCACCCTCCTTGCTGCGTACGCGTGCGTGTATGCAGCTATTCCACACATGCGCATGCGCTTATTTCATAGCAGTGACGTCACAACTGAAAATAATACCACCGCAATAAACAAAAATGAGAATAGTACACTTATAATTTGTAAAAAAAGTATTCACACAAACAAAATAAACAAATATTGAGTACACTAATTGTAGTGGTGTCCATCATTCACATGACAGTCTATGAGTTTATCATGTGACTCCAGTTCAGGTGAGTTGCGTAGGTTGGAACTATCCAGATACTCAGCCCCTGCTTCATGACTACATGATGTAATGCTCCTGTCAGAGAGAGGGGATAATATGATACACATCATTGTATAGAAAAAGATGATGTCATACATATATATACCTCCTCTCTAATGAGGTCAGGTCGGTGTGCTGCGGAGGACTTGACAAACGGAAGAAAGCGAGGATGTTTTCAGAGTTGACTCTGTCCAACATAGCATGGACACAGATGAATCTCCATTATTCCCATACCATCACACATAAAGGGGAAGGGGAGGGGGAGTGCAATGGTGGTAAACAGAAGGGAGACATACTGCAGACGACAGGATGGTTTTGTTCTCAGTGTTCCTCTGGAGTTTTTGAGGTCTGAGATCAACTGCAGCAGGAGTCCACCGCCATCTACTTCCTCTGCCCAACACAGGACTGGTACTGCGTTACTGTGAACAATGGCTGTGTTCTAGATAGGGGGGAAGTAACGGAGAAAGATTAAAGAGTGGGGAACTGTTTGCTATTCCCGCGGTCGACAGTCAAGACAGGGCTATGGAGAAAGTTTTCCATTAGTTGCAACCCTCTCCCAAGGGACTACCCTCCCCACATACCAAGCCACATGTGAAAGGTATTGTATCTGTCACAGAGGCAGGAAGGAAGTGTGTTTACACAGATAACCAGCACAACAGTTGCTTCACTGCACCCTGCCCCTCCTAATTCCCACACAACACCTCCCCAGCCTGCATGCTGGGACCTACTGCACACATGTACCTTCTCATCATTTATTCAAACTTGCGGACTAACAATTTCTTTAGCTCCAAATGGTGTTCCCAGATTCAGAGTCACAGATTTCCTTGCCATAGAGCGCTTGGCTTTAGCTGAGTGGCCAGTACTGATGACTCATCCCTCCTGTAGGGGGATGAAGAAGGAAAGGAAAGAGAGAAGTGAGAAAGGGGAAAAGTGGGTGGCAGGAAAATGAGTGAGACTTCCACTCCAAAAAAGGCTGATAGTGTACTATCTATGCACACAGTTGCACTCACATCCTTACGAGTGCTGACAACTCACTCTCTTAAACACCACAAGGGCCACAATAACTGCATACCCTGCCCATTTCCTCCAGTTCACAGCAATGCAACCTCTGTCTTGAACTCCACACATTCTCCCAAAAGTCATTCAATGTAGCTGCAAAGGGGCCTGGGCTCCATGTACGCATTCTCTGCTTGTAACCCCTACAAAATGGCCTTGGTTCCAATCGGGCAATGGGTCATCCTAATTGAACTCCTCAGGAAGCTGGAGTGATGTACTCTGCCCCGAGACCATCCGTGGGCTTGAGCGGACCTCGTTCATGTTAATCTGAAGTGAGGCAATAGTGAAATAGACACTAGTAGCCTAACATAACACTGTAGTGGGTGTATAGTGATCTTAAACACACACACACACTCATGGAGGAATAGGGAGAGGTTTTGTTGAAAGTGTATAGGGGGAAGAGGGAGGAAAGGGGTTGATCTCACAAGGAATGCGGCCAGGATAGCGGTTCTTGTCCTTGTTGGGGAAGCGAGACCCTTCAGAGTTGTCCACTGTCTGAAGGCTTCGGCCCCACTCTGCCAACAGCTGTGACACGAATTAAGGTGTCAATAATCACAGATTCCACCACACAACACTCTAATTGGCTGATTTGTACAGATGAGGTCAGTTCTTACTCCTAACTGGGCATTGAAGACAGACCATCTCCCCAGGATTTCCGGACCATCTTCTTGATGTGCTCAGCAGCGCTTTGGCGACTGAGGTACTCTCCACATGTGACCGTTCAACCAGAGCATCGTGGATGAACACGTACTGCACCTGTGTTGAGTGTGTGTGTTAGCATAAGAGAGACAGAAGGTGTATAGATACTTGTCGGGTGAATAGATTCGAGGAATGTCCATGAAAACAAGAATGATAAACAGCCATCACAACAAACAAACACACACCTACTCTCCCATGACACACTCACTCTTCTACCCCCTCTCTCCCTCTCCAACACACCACCTACTCTCCCATGACACACTCACTCTTCTACCCCTCTCTTCTCTCTCCAACAGACCACCTACTACTCCCCATGACACACTCCTCTCTTCTACCCCTCTCTCTTTCTCTCTCCAACACAACCACCTACTCTCCCATGACACACTCACTCTTCCAACCCCCATCTCTCTCTCTCCAACATACCACCCACTCCCCCATGACACACCACTCTTCTACCCCCTCTCTCCCTCTCCAACACAAACACACCTCTCCCCCATACACACCCACTCTCTCCCTTCTCTCCTCCTCCAACACACCACCTACCTCCCATGACACCTCACACTCTTCTAACCCCCTCTCTCCTCTCTCCAACAGAACGAGGGTCTGACAAGTGGATCCTCTGCTCCTCATTTTCGTCAGGCACTCGTAAACATTCACGCTGCTCTCGAGGCAATCCTCTCCACAAATGGAGTCCAAGGAGATGAAGCCAGTCGAAGTGAGTTGGAGAGTAAAGTACTAGCTGATTTACGGCGCTCCGGTTAAAAGGACGAAGCTGAGCCGCTGGATGTATCAAGTCCCGCCTGGGTTCACCTTTCACAGGAGCGAATCTTGGGGTGTGGCGGGTCGTCGTGTCCCTCTGGCTTGTACGCCCGCATCGATCATCTGTGACAATCGGGCGGGGTGTGGACTGTGGGCCGATCTGGTACCCTAGGGGTGGTAGGAGGAGGTATACCACTTCATATGTGGTGTTGTATTGGCCTGTGTTTCCTTCGCGCAAGTCAAGTCGACTTTTGGCCGAGAAGCCTTACTTTATATTTGTTCTCTTGTTTCTGCGGCTGTGAGTAGAAGGCGCCCGAGTTCACCCCTGGGGCTGAGTTTGACCGTTGGGCCGCGGTTCCGCGGGGTCTACCACCCGTCGGCCCCAATCGCGGGGTGGGAAAGCGGGATGGTGCCCCGCTTTTTCCGAGGGGGGGAGACCCGGGGGGGGAGCTCCATCCTCAGTAACGGTGGCCTAGCGGGGAGTAAGATAAATTAGTTCGATGCGTCCATTTGCGATTTGTCCGCCACCCCTGCACTGCAGTGGACCAAACATGGCAGACTGAGGGTTGTGGTAAACTGCCTCAGCCGGACGGATGAAGGAGATGATTGCATTGGAAAACTTGGGCACTCCGTGATCTTGCCAGCGAGGAACTGAATGCTGCAAACCTCTAGAGCTGGCACCTTTGGTTTCTGATCCTACAACACAGAGAAGACCCCTCACTGCATTAACACTGGCAGATATACAGTATTATTGATGGTCAATACATGATGCCTAGTATCTTGCTTGGTCGAACTTGGGTTTGTACAGAAAGAGAAGAAGAGAGGGGGACACATTCCGTGCTGCACCCTAGGCCACAAGTCATTAGAGTTTTTGTGGACTCACATTGGTTGACTATGAATTTTCTGATCTCAAAGTCAGCATACGGAACGACTTCCTCCTTGTACTTGTACGTGGATTCCACATCCGGCTTGAACTGTCTCCACCTTCTCAGGCCATAGAGCTCACACTTCCTCTGCACATCAACACCCACCGTCAGTAACATTTACTGGTAGAGTTCGTTCTACGCTTAGTTGAGGCCAATCCTATAGATCTCTCCCTGGATTGTTAATGCCATACTCTGTGACTGAGATCTAGTGTAGACAAGGAGAGAATGGAGCTGCCTCCAACCACTAGTCAGTTGCTAACTATTTGTTGAACTTGGTGGCCATTTCTGATAACTACGATAGCAATTTTCCCACATTGTGTGCCAGCTTGATGTCTGTACAATTGCGACCATATAAACCACAGGGAATTTGTGCTGGATACAAAATGTATGGGGATATGGGATGGTAGTGCAAACTAGGTTGGCTCTCCCTCCCTCTGGTAGACTGGCAGTAATAATGAGATAATGGACTGGCAGATTCCACCGTTCACTTCATAGCCAAGCCAGCAAATGAAGAGAGAGGGAAGAAATAAAGTTTGTGTGGGAGAGAGTCATTAGCTATTTGGGAGCGGCGGACAGAGACTTCCAAAAGTAAGATTTCGAAACTTTCATTTACCAATCTCTCACACAGTACTATGGGCTAGAATATTGACTTTGTATGCAACCACATGTTGCTGATTATCACAGGGAAGAGGTTAAAGAAAGAGTTAGAGAAGAGAAGAGAGAGGCAAGACTCACTTTTCCTCCCTCCACTAGTTTGGTGAGCATGACGATACTTCCAGGTCGGTGCTCCCAGATCATTCTCCAGAAATCCAGAATGGTTCCTGACATGGGCCCCTGAGCTGCGATGTAGGCATTGCTCCTACTGTACCCCTGTGGGGAGAAGGAAAATGGAGCTAATAACATGCATGCTCTTCATTCCCCATTGATTAACAAGGGGAGAGTGTTAATTAAATCACTTACGTGGACAAACGATGCGTTGATATAGTCTGAGCCTTCAGCACCATCCACAAGCTGCAGAGGAACTCTGTTGAAGTCGTCTGTGGAGACAGATCACCAGACGCATCAGTTAAAGTGGGGGGAAAGACGACACTTTTTTGGGTATTTTGGCCAAAATGTTGTGGAATTCTTAAAATTAAGTTGACAATCAGCACAAATTAATAGTGGATTAAACTCGATCACAACAAGTATGAGAGTTAGAAGGCTTACAGGGGAAGATGTTGGCAAATCTGTTTTTGTTCTTGTTCTTAGGATCCTTGGCGGCGTCGTGGACTGCCGTGGGCTCAGTATTGAATGTCTGCACGGGAACCACAGAGCAAGGTTAGAGGGAGGGAGAGGGGGAGGGGAGGAGGGGAGGAGGACTCACCAGGTATTCCTGCTCAAATCCTTTGTCTCTGTCCTCGTGCATCTGTCGGACATGTTCCTCAAACTGATCCAGTCTGATGGCTCTCATCCTTGCAGCTTCTGTGAGGGAGCAAGAGGGAGTAAGAGGGAATTAGAGGGAGTAAGAGGGAGTAAGAGGGAGTAAGAGGAAGAGGAGGAGAAGAAGGTAGACCCACCCTCAGGACTGGTAGGGTTGATGGCAGAAAGGGACACCATTTCCTCTGCTCTCTTGTCTTCATCCACACCTGGAGGCATGGCGCTGGGGTGAGCAGAGTAGCCGCCCGTCTTACTCTTTCTACAAACACACAGAGACACAGATGTGAAATTGACCAACCTGCGAGGATTGACTAACCTGCAGCGAATCAAGACCACAATGACCACAATGACCACAATGACTACTACCGGCAGAACCACAGCTACCACCAGAACCACTAGCACTGCCACAATCACCACAGGGAAACCACCTTTGTCTTCTGGCGGGTTCCCTGACAGAGGAACAGAGAACAGAGATAGAGGAGGTGCTGTAATAAGCAATCTCTCTTACTTACCTTCAATAGTGAAGGTCTGTGCCTCTCCAACCCCAGCTCCATTGACAACACTGACTGAGACGTCGTAGCTCTTGCTGGAGTCCAGTCCAGAGATGGTCACGTTGGTCTGGTCTGGACCGACTCATGCAGCACCCGCTGGTCTGACCTGCTCCCAGCTGGCACTGATCTCTGGGACACTCTTGCCTCTTCCTTCTCCCTCCCTCCCCTGCCCCACTCTCAGAGAAACTGATCTCAAAGGATGTGATGATGCCTCTCGCCTCCACTGGACTGGGCTTCTCCCACGACAGTAGAATGTCTCCGTTGGATGATCTTCTCTGGTTCTCTGGGGTTAGAGCCACCGGGCCTGACGCTGCGAGAGGAGGAAGATAGGGGTGAATGGTGCACAGTGAAACCTCTGAAATAAAGGACACCTCTCTATAGTGGACACTCAGTACTGCCCACATTAGTATTACCTCCAAATAAGAGACACTTCTAAATAAAGAACACCTTTGCCTTTCCTCAAGGTGTCCCTTATTCAGAGGATGAGTACGCCAGTGATTTACCAAGTTCAGTTGAGAAGAAGATGGTAGGATTTTTCTCTCCATTTCCCTTGTCATTGACGCCACCACCACCGCATAGTATGGAGTACCATCCTCTGCAGGACACACAGACACACAGAGAGAGAGGGGGAGAGAGAGAGAGGTTAAATGCTGTTCATCACATTACCTCAGAGTGCCACGAAAATAGAAATTCTATCGTCGCGACAGAAAAAGTTGTGAGCTGTTGTCAGACAGACTAGTGCTAAGTTCCTCCACCAAGCTAAAGCCACTAACCCAGTGAAGACACAGTCAGTTCATGTCTGAAAGTTGAGTTGTCCACTGGCGCGGGGACCAAACTTGACCACGCCCTCCGGGTATGTTTCCACGGAGACCATGTATCCGGAGAGGATACCATTGGGGTAGGGTGGAGTGTTCCACTCCACAGTCAGAGTTCCATCTTCTACCGCCACATTCACCTCCGCAACCGGTCCTGGGGCTGCAGTAACAGAGAGAGAGAGAGAGAGAGAAATACTCAATTGTGATTCTTAGATGCCGGGCAACAAGAGTTAGTTTATGAGCTGGATTCATATGTAGCTAGGGATGTCAGTTGGTATTAAACTCCAGTTTTGTATCAGAATAAAATGTTCAGGTGATTGTCACGATGAACACACATACATGATGAATTGACGGCTCAGAAATCTGCACTGTCATTGTAGAAGAATTAGACTCACGTATGGAGGGAGTGGTGCCAGAGACAGCGTCACTAGGAGGCCCGTATCCAGCCAAGTTGACCCCAGACACCTCAATACTGACCATCTCAAATCCTCCAACTTTGTCAGACCTGACCAGAAGACTGGGATCAGAGGACGTGAGGACAACAGTGTCTCCACTGGAGGTCTTAGTCACAGTCAGTCTGTAGCCAGTGACAATTCCCTCCACTTGGCCCCACATCACCAGCAGACCTTCCCCCTTCTCCTCCTCCCCACACTGAGACTGACACCTTCTGGTGCCCCTGGTACTAAACACACACACACAGAGAGAAAGAAGAGGGAACACTATTGTGACAATAAAGAGATCAACACAAAAGTCTCATGCAATTTGAGTGTACAAGATGATCCATGCATATGGAAGTGTAGTCTATGACATGCATGGAGGCATTATACCCATACATTGCAAGTTGCATAAAGTTTGTATCAACTTGCGCCATTCACGTATGTTGGGCTTGAAAGGAGAAAGGAAGAGAAAGGGAGAGAAAGGAAATAACAGAAGAAGTGAACTCTACCAGTAAGGACAGAGAGCAGTGGGGTAGTGGGGGGTCCGGCCCCCACAGCAGTGGAAGCAGAGATGTTGCAGGAGTAGCTGGTGCCAGGGGTGAGAGTGGTGACATTGAGACTCAGCTCTGTGGTGGACTGGTAGAAGGGAGGGTTACAGGAGATTGCGTAACCAGTGATGGCTCCGTTGGCGGAGGAAGAGGGGGGTGGGGCCCAGCTGAACTCCACCCTCTGTGACCCGTTTACCACTGAATGTCTGAAGTCCTGAGGAGGAGCATCTGGAGCTGAGGACAGACACAATAGACATCAGTCAACACAGTGACCAGGGGGCAATAATTAGAATCACCAATGAGTTTGACGTACTAATGACACGGTATATACATGTGAATGTGAATGGAGAATTTAGTGCACTCCACATTAATTGTGCCAATGCTACATGTACTCATTACTTCTCCCTCTCATAGTACTTTGCTCCCATCATTCCTCTCTCGCAGACCTACCATCCTCCAGAGTGGAAGCATCGACGGTGGCTGAAGGTCCACTGCCAACAGAGTTAGTCGCCAGAACTGAACAGGAGTACATGGTGTTGGGTGTCAGTCCAGTTGCCATCACTTGTGTGTCTGGAATAGTGTCTGAGAAGTCAGGAGAAGAGGAGGAGGGAGAGAAGCAGGTGACGGTGTAACTGGAGATGTCTCCATTGCGGAGACGAGGTTCCGGTGGACTCCATGACAACATGAGGTTCCTACGACCAGCAACTGCCATGAGGTTCACTGGAGCACCTGTGGGAGCTGAACACAGACAGACAGACAGAATCCACTGGTAAAATATTTTCAGTATAGTGGGTTACTTTCATTTAGTCTAATTTCTGCATGAGAATACATGTTAAAAGTATTTTCCAACAACAAAATAAAGACTTTTGCTCCTACAAAATCTGCCATATATCAGTGTAGACGTACCCGAGGGGGGTGTGGTGAGAAGATTCTCTAGACAAGTTCTATTAGAAGGAGCAACTCCATTGCTGGTAGCTACGACACAGCAGGTGTAGCTGAGACCAGGACTGAGGGATACAGACCCCGAGGTAACGGAGTTGTCTGGGGTAGTGTCGCTTCACGTCGTCTACTCCGTCCAGAGTGGGGTCACAGGTCAAGGTGTAGCTGACGATGGGCGGGGCTCCAGGAGCCGCAGTGGAGGCGGTCCAGGTGAAGCCATAGGTAAGCCCAGAGGGCTGAGTCACAGCTAGGTTGGTTGGAGGATTGGGACCTGTGGGGAGATCAGATGATGATCACTTGACTGGTCAAACGCATTTGTGTGAGTTCCATTGATCACATGATTGATCACATGACTAGTCACATGCTGAAATGAGTGATTTCAACTGATCACATAACTGATCACATGACTCACGTCTGGAGGAGGTGTTGAAGGTGTTGGTCTCATAGAGAGTGAAGGTGTAAGAGTTTGAGGCATTGACGGTGTAGTAGTAGGCGGTGTCGGGGTCCAGACCAGAGAGGGGCAGAGAGAGAGGGAGACTGGTGACTGAAATATCGCTGCCACTGGTCCTCTGCTGGCCAGAGGTCCGGTCCAGACTGTCTGTAGTGGTGCCATAGAGGACTGTGTAAGTCTCAGGAGTGTAGGCAATGGAGAACACGGTCCAGGAGATGATGGCTGTGGTGTCAGTGACGTCTGTTGATCTCAGACTCACCGACATTGGTGCTGCTGGACCTGAGGTGGAATTTAAAGATGATGATTTAGAGAGTGACAAATGAGAGAAGATAAAAAAGAGGTTGGAGGCTCACCCTGCACAGTAACAGTGGCAGTGCTGGTGGTAGAGAAGATACTGGTCTCAGTGAGAGCTGCGGTGCAACGGAACTGGACGGTGGTTGAGGCAGTGGACTCTGTGCCGCTGATCCGACTGGCGTAGCCATCTTCAGGAGTCCCTGTCAGAGGGCTGTAACTGTCTGTTGAGACCGGCTGGAACTCCCCAGAATCGACTCTGCGATCCCAGTGGACGAAGCCCAGTGCCAGAGGAGTGGTGCCAGCAGTAGCAGAGGCAGAGCAGGTGATGGTGAATGAGTTGTATTCTTCATGATCCAGAACTCTCTGAGTCTCCGGCTCTGTTGCCACTGTCACCTCCGGAACTGAGGGAATGGAGCAGTGAGTGAGGGGTTAACAGGAGAGAGAATGGAGCAGAGGGGTTAACAAGAAGAGAGAATGGAGCAGAAGGGTTAAAGAGAGAATGGAGCCAGTAAGTGAGGGGTTAGAAGGGAGAAAGAATGGAGCAGAAGGGGTTAAAGACAGAACGGAGCAGTAAAGTGAGGGGTTAGAAGGGAGAGAGAATGGAACAGTAAAAGGGAAAGGGTTCGGAGTGACACACTCACTTAGCACAGTCAACACGTCGCTCTCATCAAGAGTGGCAGTGGGTATAGTCCCTGCACCAGGACTGGTACTGATGGTGACTTGACACCGGTACTCCCCACTGTCCGACTGAGCCAGTGGACTCAATGTGAGTGTGTTCTCCCTAGTGAATAGACCAGTCTCCACGGAGCCAATAGAGGCGGAGGGAGGGAGCTCTCCACCCACTCTGGACCACATGAACTCTGTGGTGATGTCAGAGTTTGATAGGAACACAGCGCAGGTGAGCGTGACAGTGTTGCTGACGTACGGCACTCCAGCAATCCCAGGCCAGGTTCATTAACACCAACTGGCAAGGAGAGGGAAGATATACAGCTAACTCATCGAGATACAGTGAATGTAGCTCACAGGTGACGTCCACATTCAGTGTAGCTTCCCCTGCGGGAGACATACTCTCTTCAATGGTATAGGTGGCAGAGCATCTGTACACTCCGTGACTGAACAAGTCCAGGTTTTCAAAACTGTACTGTGCAAGATAGCTGCCACTGGATGGGGTAACTGGTGGCAGGAAAAGGGCCTTCATCCATTCCATCTCCAGGACCATAGAATTCAACTTCAGGGTTCCCTGAGAGCTCAATTCCTTCAGGGAGAACCACAGTACAGGCGAGTTGTAGGCTACCACCCACAGTAGGGTTGGTGGTGATAGCAGAGAGAGTCACATCTGGAGGCTCCAAATCTGTGTGTCAGACAAAATCAAGTACCTATACATCGACAAAGGAATGGAGAAGGACTCACTTGTAGGTGCAAGTGGGCCAACCACCATGCTGGGTAGCTGGTCTGATAGAGCCACCAGAGACACCATGTACTGAGTCCCACTCTGGAGACCCTCAAACATGTGGCTGTCGGAGGAACTGGGCACCGTCACTTCCCACCCCGCCCGGCTCCAGGAAGACGGTGTAGCCAGTGACAGATCCAGAGGGAGGGGTCCAGGTGACCAGGATACTCCCTGAACTGAGCAGGTCCACTGCATTCAGTCTGGTCGGCTCTCCAGCAGCTGTGTGGGGAGGGGACAGGTAGTCACCACACACACTACACACAGCATCCTCCAACTCACCAGATACTGTGAAGGCCTCACTGGAAACACTGCTGCCTGCCTCACCAAAGTAAGTGGTCCTATTGCTGCTGACAGTGCAGCTGTAGTCCACCAGATCCCTGCCTGTGACTGTCAGTCGACTCTCATACACTGTGTTCTGCTGACGATCGACAAGTCGGAGGACAGTGGAGGGATCAGAGATAGCGGTGGAGTCTCTGGTCCACTGGACAGTGGTGGCTGGTCCACCCTCACTGCGACACGTCAGGACAAACTCTGGCTCTTCATTCACTTCACTCAACAGCTCAGTGAAGGACACAACTGCTGATGTCAGTTGACCTGCGCACACACAACACATTTGTACACACAGCATGCAACCTGTTGTACTAGTTGTAGAAGGAAACATCTGCTTTAGCTGTTCTCATGCCACAATATCAACACAGGCACTGGCCTTGGCCCCTTCCCCTCTTCCCTTTCTCAGCAATTGATTCACTCTTAGAAACCTTTGATTATTCAGTGTATGAAACCTATGATTCTGCCAGTGAAATGCTTCCCTCTCTCCCATGTCCCTAACTCTTACCAGTACTCTGATTTCCAAGGTAGATGAACATCATTTCAGGAGTTCCACCAGAGCCCGGGATCTCACATTCATACATTCCAGACAGCTGCTCCTGCCCATTTGACACAGCCAGTCTGTTGAGGTCGATGGTTCCTGCTGCAGTTCTAGTCACGTAGAACGGAATAGTTCCTGCAGGTCCCTCCTGAATGGCCACCTCAGCTGGGTCCGTCCACCCTCCATCACTCCCCTCACAGCAGGGACTGTGGTTAGTGACACACTCGAGCTTATCAGCCACACTGACAATTCCCCTGTCGATGAACGAGTTGTTTTGAAAAGTGACTCCATTGTGACGTAAAAAGGGGTAAGTCTGGCAGTGCACGATGTGCAGACAGGCCAGGAGACACACTAGCAACACCCTCATCCTGCCAGCTCCCTGCACAGCGTGATATAATCATTACTTTCCAGCACATGTATTGGCAATATGCTGCGCATGTGCATAAAAACTGCCATAATCGCAGCTAAATGGTACAGGGGTATATCCATTGACTGTTCTGGCAAACAGTAAGAGACAGGTGTGGAAGGTGTGCCACAGTAGTCATGGGAGAGAGCTCCACTCACTATCACACACGAACATTCCTAGAGTAGAGTGTCACACGTGCATGTTGTGCCCCAACACACTGTCTCTCACACTACACTACTGCACTAAAAGGAAAGGAGCACGTCAGCAGTTGCTCCAAACATGACTCAGGGAAATGATGAATGATGTCAGGCCATTGACCTCTGGTCCTGCCAGTTCATCTGTCTATTGTAGGGGACGGATTGAGGAGCTCCAAATAGAACATTACTGGGTGTGTCCCTATTCATGAGTGTCCCACTACATTCCTCCAGCCCACATTGAAACCCTCTGGTTAAGAGGTATATAGTCAATTAACCCGCTCGACCACACCAAAACCAAAACCGTTTACTGGAGACTGAGTCGAAAACATTAGTTTTGCGGCCTGCGTTTACGCACGCGCGAAATGTTCACCGAGTGCCGGGTTATAATAGGCGTTTGCTCACCTTCCAGGAGATGCAATTGCAAGGGGCAGTGATGTGGGGTCAGCAAAGAGAGAGAGACAAGACCTCGTTTCTTGGGGTGGGGTTGCCGTTTCAGGAGACAAGAAAGCTGCTGATGGAGCACTGACGTCATCATTATTCACAGCTAGCCGCCGGCTGCTGAAGATGCACTGATGAGCGGTCGCGCGCGCGGCTCTTACTACGCATGCGCAAAATTTGTCTAAAAGGTTTACACACTGGCTTCAACGTAATCTCTAAGTGATATGATTGCACACACAATTCCTGCAGTCCTATATAACAGTGACTGAGAAATTAAACAACTTCCTTGAAGTTGGCGTAAGTCTCAAAACTATCCAAATAGTTGGCCACCACATCGTGGCAGAAGGCAAAGTGAGCCTGCGAAGATAACATCATATTATGAAAGGGTGCGAGAGGTAGAGAGGAACATACAGCGTCAGGGACGAGGCCAGCTCTCTGGATACGGGCAGACTTGACAGCCTGGAAGAAGTCGACCACACCTTCGGTCTTGAGTCTCTCCAACTGAGAATGGAGACAGATGAACGTCCCTGTCCTTCCCACTCCGTCACTGAGGAGGTGAGGAGAGATGAAGATTCAATAAAGCCACCAGCGAGAGGGGCATACCTGCAGACGATGACTGTGTGTCTGCTGGGGCACGTCCTCTGGGCCTTGTTCAGCAGCTCCCCCAGAGACAAGATGGCGGTCGGGTGAGGCAGCTCTCCCGGGGCCCAGCTGGTCAGCTGGAGGAGAGTCACAGTTCTGGTGACTCCCACTGTCATCCCCTCACTCTCCTCTTCCACCTCCAGCTTCCTCTCTACAATGTCTCCGTGGAAACTCTCCCTCTTTACCCCAACTTTCACCTTCCCGTACAACTCTTCCCTCTCTCCCTCTTCTCCCTCCTCTTCTTCCTTCCCTCGTCCTTCGGGCCAGAAACACTGACTGCTCTCCTATACACACAGAATGAGTCAAACAAACAGAGAGAGTGGGGAAATGACACACCAGCCCATTCTCCTTGGTCTGACAGAGCATCACGATACAGCTGCAGTTGTGTTCCCAGACCATTCTCCAGAAGTCAGCAACTGTCTCCGCCAGAGGTCCCTGAGTTGCTATGTAGGCCTTCTTCTGCTTGTAGCCCTGTGTATGGAGGCTCAGTCACATGATCAGTGGGCGTGGCTGCACGACGTACGTCAATGAAGGAGGCGTTGATGTAATCAGAGCCAGGCAGGGGGCCGTGACGCAGCCTCACACGACCGAGCTCATCTGAAAACAAAGTGTTGAGTTTGGAAACTGCTTGTGTGTGCGTTATGATAAACACATGCCTCCAAAATGAAAGTTTGTTTCCGTCTTTTGCCAAACGTTAACAATGTAAACAGTAGTGTTGGCATTCCAAAGCCTCTTGCTAGTTCACCAAGGTGGGGGCAAAGGAAACCGAAGCAAAAATGGAAGATATCCACAACGGTCTCATGCAGAGGGCAAGCAGACAAACAACAACAACACCAGCAGGAGTTGGGTTATTACGAGAGAAGGAAAGATGGTTTACCATGGTTGGTCCCAGGGGTAAAGAACACACTGTGTGTGTGTGTGTGTGTGGTATGGATACTCACTGGGGAGTTTGTCAGGGAACCTGTTCTTGGCAGAGTTGTACTTGGCCCTCAGCCTCCAGGTAGGATGTCTTGTACTGGGAGCTCATGTGCTCTAGAATCTGCACAACAACACACATCACATGACATACACAACATTCACACTTTACGACAGAATTGTTTGCTACAGGCACTGGATTTTCCCATCAAATGCAGTCAATATATGCAAATACCCGATGGGAATGTGATAATCCCGTAGACAGATAAAAATGGCAAACAAACACACACCGGTACCTGGAACTGAGTCTGGAATCCAGTGAGGCCAGAAGGATCTCCAGGGACTGGTCTGTGGAGTCGGTTCATTTTGATCCTCAGATCACCTGCTGCCACCTCAGTCTCTCCACACACCACCAGCTCACTCAGGGAATCATGGATGAACACATACTGAGCCTGAACACACAGAGAGAGAGAGAGAGAGAGAGAGAGAGGAGAGATAACCAGTGAGGGAAAGTTGGGCAGCAAACAGTAAAAATGTGTGTTTCTTATGAGTTGCAAATGAGTCTTGAAACATTTACATGTAACATGGATCTAAACTGGTTGAACATACACAGTAGTTGTAAATACCTGAGTCTGGACCATCTTAATTCTCTGAGTCCTCATACTCTTGAGGTGCTGGAAGACACTCAGGGTCCCCTCCCTCCTCATCTGCTGTATGGCCAAGTCCAGGAGGATGAAGGTACCAGTCCTCCCCACCCCGGCACTGCAGTGGACCAGGAGGGGCGTGGTCAGGGAGGCGGGGTGTTCCTTGCGGACGCGACGGATGAAGGAGATGAGGGACATGGCGTTGCGAGGGACTCCGTGGTCAGGCCAGGCGGTGTAGAACATGTGGGTGACTGTCAGCTCTCCTTCTTCATCTGCTGTCTGGAGTCCAGAGACCAATGGGACAGAAGAAAGTGTGGATTTAGTAGTTCAGGGGCTTAAATGCATGCAAGAAATGTGCTTGGGGCAACCAATTAGAGGTGTTCTTAGAGAATTGTATCGTCAATAGAATGAGACAGTGGGGGGGAGGACTGACTGATTGGAGGTGTATTTTCCTGATCTGGTACTCTGCTGAAGGTACAAATGAGGTGACAGTGATGTGGAACTTTCCTCTGGTCTCAGTACTGTTGGTTTGCTGTGGCCAGTACTGCTCACACTTCTCCTATAGACACAGACACACAACACCACACCTTAGACCATTGATGGGCAAACTAATGGGCCACACTATATAATAAAAAAAGGAACACCAACAGACCTTGGCATCCTCCACGCAGCGAGTCAGCATGACAATAGTATGGACCTCATTCTCCCACACCATTTCCCAGAACCTGTTCACAGTGACTCCTGTTGGACCTGCAGACAGAGAGACACAACTATAAGGACCAAAGGTAACCTAGAGAGAGGGGGTGAGGGTCAGTGGCAGAGAGTGGTGTTTGCATAGTTTCTTCCAGTGAAACTCTTTCACCTTGAGGAGCAATGTAAGCATTCTTCTTGTCAGGATAACCCTGTGTAAATGAGTGGAGATAACAGCAGGTATAAAGGGTTTTCCTCACATCAATGAAGGAGGCATTGATATAGTCAGAGCCTTCCTCTGCAGGGTCCCCCTTCAGCTGGACTCGACTGTGGTCATCTTTAGAGAGGGGGAACTAGAGTAATTAGTGGACAAATGACAGGGGCTCACTCACAGGGGAAGATGTTTTTGAATCTGTTGTGTCTGATGTTACAGGGGAGATGAGCAGCATCACTGGCTGGCTGGGGCAGTTTGTCCAGACTCTGCAGCCAACAGACACATGTACACCAGTGTATGGAGGTCTGCAGTGAGGCGAACCCTGTACTCCAGCTCCAATCTATGGTCTCTGTCCTCATGCATCAGTCTCACATACTCCGGGAACTCTGCCTCAGGAACCTCACTTCGAAAACTCACTGCAGAACAGTGAACAGAGTACAGCAACCTGTGGCTGGAGGAATATATACCATCAACATAGGAGTCCTCTGAATCACTCTCGTCCTCAGAATGTTCCACTATTTCCTCCATCTCCAACTCCTCCTCCTCTTCTTTTCTCACTGGTTTCCTGGGAGGAGGTGGAGGTCTGGGGGGTTTGGTAACAGTGGTTGTCCCTCTCCTAGTTCTCCGCCATCTACAGCAGTGGGATATACAGTGTGAACTCATCACAGGAGGGGTGGACCCTACCTGATGAATATGATGATGAGGATTATTGAGATGGTTACCACGACCGCAGTAGCAATAACTCCAGCCACTGCTGGACCTGCTGATGATGATGATGATGAACCTCCTTTAGCTATAGGAGAGGCAGAGAGAGACATTAATGATCACTCAACTTTTTCATCTTCTTACCCATGAAAAACACTTCGCTCCTAAAAACACTGTTTCCTCGTCTGTTAGTAACAAACACACTCACGTTGTAGGAAACACCTTTAGCTATAGAAATTTATCAGGGATTAGAATAAAACAACGATTCGTCAATTAAACAAACCTAATACTAATCCTTGAGCAGAGAGTTGAGTCTCTTTCATAGACACCACATCACTGAAGACCTCTCTCCCAGTCACATTATCATTGACAGTGACTGTGTAGTTCCAGTAGAAGTCATTGGGTTCAGGAGTGGCCCTCCCAGGATATGCTCAGTTTGTCTTCCACCACAGCCACAGATATGGGCCCAACTCCCTCTGGGTCTGAGGTGCAAACTGAAACATTATGATACGTACAAAACACCACTCAACTGACCTCTGGCAGTCACTGGTCCAGCTATACTGCTGGGCAGGTGAACCGATAAGGCCTGGACACTGACTGTGTACACCTTCTCACCAGTCCCTCGGTGAGTGTGTGAGAGGTTTCAGTACCAGATATGTTGAGAACACTTGTGCCACCATTTCGATAGCGGTAATAGATGAGATACTCAGTCACATTGTTGTCGGTATCAGCAGTCCAAGTTGTTGTCAGAGTATTTCCGCTAGTTGTAATTCTTGGGTTTAATTCAGAGCTGGGAGCTGCAGTAAATTACAACAAACTGACATGCATAAGATGCCATAATCATTATACCTTGGACATTAAGCTGTGCCGATACTGTTGAAGGTTTGCTGTTAGCCACAGTACAGTTGTACAGTCCAGGTAGTCTCCCAGTCACATTCAGAGTGTGGGTGTATTGTGCAGTAGTTGAGTTATTCAACACAGTCTTGGTTCCTTGGGTGACAGTGGTGGAGTCTCTGGTCCAAGAGACAGTGGTAGCAGGTCCACCAGTGGAGTTACAGGTGAGGGTGAACCGACTATCAGAGTCCAAAGTGAAGGATAAACCATCAGAAACTGTGACAACTCCTGAGGCGATATGCAGAATTGACTATAAACACACAATCAATCCAAATGCAAGCCTCACCTCCACTGGTGTACAGTCCTACATAAAGTGAATGGGGTGTGGAGTCTGCATCATCAACTGAACAACGATATATTCCTTCATCTGGAGGATCAGTACCAGTGTTCCTCTTCAGTCTCACTACCATAGGATCTCTGTTTCTTACGAATCCTTGTACATCATTTTTATCTGCGCCACCCACTCTGTCCCATTTGGAGCAAACCAGTTTCCTCCAGAAGTACGATTACCAGGTGGTGGAGGACGGTTAGTGATACACAGTAGAGCATCAACATTTGTGGAGCCAACGTCACTGATATTCACATAGCCATGATCAGGGATGATGTTACCTT